TCCTGGGCGTCGGGTACTGGCCCAGGTGGTCGCGCCCGCTGGCTCTGCGCCGCAGCCCCAGGTAAGGGCGTTTCCGGGCCGGGCTGCTGAGCCAAGGTCAGGAGTTCGAGCTCCCCAGCAGCCCCAGGGCTGCCTTCCCAGGTGGGTGCGCCCGGAGTCAGAGTCGGCCACGGGCACTGCAGGCTGCAGGCTCCCTCCCCGGGCCCAACTTTGTAGTAGGCTTGCCCCTACCCCCTGCCTTTTCCCTCCACGTGGGAGCCTATCGCAGAGTGGGTCCCCAGGCGTCCTTGGGGGGTGGGGTAGGGTGAGGTAGTCTCTGGTCCTGACTGGGAAGCAGGGGCTTGGTGGGGCTGGGTCAAGAGCTCTGTTTTGCAAAGACGTTTTCAAGGGGCTTCTGCATGTCCATGAGGGGGAGGGTTGAGTGGAGGCGGAGGCAGTGAGACCACTTAATTCAGCCTGCCCTTGCTCCTCACCCATGGGCTACAGGTGAGGGTCTCTGGCTGGTCCCAAGCCACCTTTTGTGGGGACAATGTGCCCTAGGCAGCCCCCACTCCATGCAGCCTCTTATGAGCTCTGGCTTTGAGGCGGGTGCATTTTGAGGGCAGCCGTTTTCCCTCCAAGGCACCCGGGCAAGGTTCTTTTCCAAGCTCCAAGCTGGGTCTCGGGAGTGAGCCGAGCTCAGGAGGCAAAGGGACAGGCCAGCTGGGGGTCTTGGATGGCCAGTGGTCCTTGTAGGAACAGCCTGGTGTCTGTCCTCTTTAATTGCAGTGCCTTTTCCTCCCGAGTAGCCTGGTGTGTTTTTAAACGGGTGGTTACGTGTTGAGTTGCAAGGTCCAAAGTTGGAAACCACCAGCCGCTCTGCCAGAGAAAGATGAGGCCTTGTACTCCCGGGAACAGTTCCAGGCTCAGACACCCGAGGGGCAGCTCGACCCTTCCCTGTAGGGTCTCTGAGTTGACATTGACTCGATAGCAGTGACTTTGGGTTTGTCTGTCTGCCTGGAAAGGGGTGGGGGCAGCAGTGAAGGCGCCGTGGCCTCGAGCCAGGAGGTCGGTGACCAGAAGCCACCAGCCGCTCCGAGGAGGAAAGAAAGAGGAGGCCAATGAAGAGTTTCCACTTGGACACCCTGAGGGACAGCTCTGCTTCGTCACTGTGGGATGGCAGTGGGCCCCGCGTGGAGAGGCCCAGTGGGGCAGTGGTGGAGTGCCTGGGAGAAGCAGAAGCCGTCTGCTTCCATATGGTGACAGCCGTGGATGCCCTGCGGGACAGCTCTGTGTCTCCAGGGTGGCTGAACATTGGACTGGCCTGGACAGAAGTGAGCTTGGCTTCGGCCTGTCTGGTAGCGGGCAGGATAGGCCCCTGGATAGGCCAGTTGAATTCCTCACTGGCTGGCCAGGCTCTGGTCTTGGCCACGTGGAGCCCAGAGGTGCTGCAGCCTCTCCTGCTGCGGTGCCCAGCCGGGTGGCAGGCAGATCTGCCTGGGCCGGGCTCCTTCCTGCTCCGCTCCGTGGTCCCAGCCTTATGTGCCGGGATGCCTGCATACCCTGCACGGGTGAGCGCGTGGGTGCCTTCGTGGGTGTGTGTGTGTGTGTGTGTGTGCGCGCGCTAGGATGAGTTGGCAAGCTGCACCCCTCTCTGATCCTGCCCTGCAGGAAGCCTGCCCTCTCTTAGGACACCTCAACTCTTTTCCCTTATGGGTCAAGGGCTCCTTAAAGAGGCCGGGTTTTGTGTGGACCTAGGTTCATGCCATAGAGAGCCCTGGTGGCAGAGGGCTAGACTTCGGCTGCTAACCACAAGGTGAGCACTTCTAAACCACCAGCTACTCCTAGGGAGAATGTGGAGGCTCTCGGTGCAGTCTCAGAAACCGACAGGGGCAGTTCTACTCCGCCGTGCAGGGTCCCTGGCAGGCAGAGAAGGCGAGGTGCCGAGCCTGGGGAGCCTCGGTGGCTGTGCAGGATGGCGTGAGTGTCCTTTTCCCTGGGTAGGTTTTAATAAACTGGCTTCACTCATTGGTCTAGGTCTCCCTGTTGGCTTTGCGGAGAAGCTTCGTCTGTGCGGTGTGACGCCTCTGCTGGGAGCTGTACCTGCTGTCCCCCCGCCCGGCGGGCTCAGAGCTATGGCGACAGAGGAGAAAAAGCCCGAGACAGAGGCCGCCAGGGCCCAGCCAACACCTTCGTCGTCGGCCACTCAGAGCAAGGTATGTGGGGAGTGCTCCTGGGGTGCAGGCCCAGGAAGCCAGGCGGAGAAAGCCTGGAGTATTCTTCCACACCTGGGAGTTTCTGCTCCTCACTCGGACCGGTGCTGTGGCCTCCTGGGACGGGGTCCTCCTAAGGCCCTCTGTCCCATGGTCCTCTCTGGGGACGGGTTCTTGGTGCTCAGCATAAGACTCAGGACAGTGGTGTGTCTTCAAGCCCCTGCCTGCCCTGCGACCCCTCCCCGGGAGCAAGGCCCTAGGGTTTCCTTTGGGGAGGCTGGGTGGGGGGTGGGGGGCAGGAGGTATGCGGAAGCAAGGCCAGACTGGTGCAGATGCTATGGACTGGGGTGGCCCAGGGATGTGATCAGTAGGGTGGGGGCTGGGCTTGGCCTTTGTGGCTCTGGTGACGGAACCAGCAGGACCATCCAGGAGGCACAGGCTTGTTTATGAGGGTCAGGGCGCAGCAGGCAGACCGTGGCTGGTAACTTGTCGGTTTGACTCGTCAGCTGCGTTCTGGGAGGAAGGTGAGGCTGTCAGCGACGGTAAAGATGGCCGCTCAGCGCTGCCTTATGTGCCACAGCTGCAGGGCACTGTGGTGTGGGGTTGAATGAGCTCCCCATGGGCCCTGGTGGGGCAGTGGTTCGGCACCCCAATGCTCACTGAGAGGTTGGTGGTTCAGACTCCCAGTGGCTCCACTGGAGCAGAGCCTCAAGGTGGCAGTCTGGAGACCCCAAGGGGCCGCCTGTCCTGTCCACCCTGTCCCTGGTGTGCTGTGAGTCACACTCAACTGCAGGGCATCCCTTAGAGTGGCATGTCTCAAGGTGTGGTTGGTGAGTGACCTCCAGGGGCCCCCGCAGACGGACCAGAGAGGGGACTGGTGGGGACCGCGCTCTGGAGGTCGTGGCTGGCAGGAGGTAGGCAGTGAGTGGTAGTTGTGGTGTTTGCTTGCATTGTGCTTGTGTGAAAGCTGGCGGAGTGGCTGCGCTTGTCAGGGCATTCACTGCAGTGCACCCCATTCCCCTTTCCCACAGCCCACCCCGGTTAAACCAAACTACGCTCTCAAGTTCACGCTGGCTGGCCACACAAAAGCCGTGTCCTCCGTGAAGTTCAGTCCCAATGGAGAGTGGCTGGCCAGTTCCTGTGAGTACCTGGGCCCCGAGCCTTGGGCCTCAGCTGGGTGGGCTTGTTTCTGGCACAGCCAGTGGGTATCCTTTGACTCTCACTGACTAAAGCCCCTCCTCCCGTGCTTACCCTGCAGTGGTGGGAGAGGGAGGAGATGCCTCCGCTGGGCACCACCATCCCTTAGCCCCTGAGCCTGCCCACCGCTCAGCACTGTCCTTGGGCAGTTGGGATTGGTCATGGGGTAAGGCTGGGGTGACAACCCAAGACTGGCTCTCGTTAGTCAGCTGGTTGCCTGGGCAGCAAGTGACTGACGGCACCCCATCTCCCCATCGTCTCCTTTCCAGCTGCTGATAAGCTCATTAAAATTTGGGGTGCTTACGATGGGAAGTTTGAGAAAACCATATCTGGCCACAAACTGGTAAGTGCCCCTCTGGGTGCTGGAAGAGGGTGCTGCTTAGGCTGGTGAGGGAAATGGAGATGGGCGGCTTTCTCCTGCCACCCTAGTGTTTGTGGGGAGTGCCTAGGAGGGAGACTTGATAGGGATGGGGTGGCGTGTGTCAGGCCTGGGGTGCCCCACTGGCTGGGTTGGAGTCCCCAGGCCTGTGTGCCTCCACGTGGTGGTCAGGAGTTCTGAGCTCGCTGGCCGGTCAGGTTTTGCCACACCCAGACACTGAGCCTGACATTGTCCCCAAGGGCATATCCGACGTGGCCTGGTCTTCTGACTCGAACCTCCTTGTCTCCGCCTCTGACGACAAGACCTTGAAGATCTGGGACGTGAGCTCGGTAAACGGGCCTTGGTGCCTCTGTCCAGGGCTGACGAGGCTGGACGAGGTGGTGGGCGTGGGGCACGTGGTGGGGCTAGCAGCTGGCCCACCGTCCTCAGGTTTCAGAGCTGCTGTTGGGGGGAGGGGGATTCCGAGGCAGTTTTGCCTGGTGTTCTGGCTACCCGGGGAGGCACTGGGCTGCTAACTGAGGGTTGGCAGTTCAAACCCACCAGCCACGCTGAAGGAGAAAGACGAGACTGGCCGCTCCTGTGAAGATTGACAGTCTTGGACACCCCACATTGGGTGGGGCATGGGCTTGATGTCGATGGTGTTTGGGAAGAAACCCCTGGGCCCTGACTTGACCTGCTGATGCTGTTTCAGGGCAAGTGCCTGAAAACCCTGAAAGGACACAGCAACTACGTCTTCTGCTGCAACTTCAACCCGCAGTCCAACCTCATCGTCTCGGGATCGGTGAGGCCTCTGAGGGCGTCTGGGGGCTGCGCTTACTGGCCAGCATAGGCTCGGTGGGCTCCGAGACGTGTGTGCCAATGCCTGGGGTGGGGGCGAGTCTGGGAGCCAGGGAGTCTGTCTGTTGTCCCCTGGCCACCTCCCTGAGAGCTGGCCTCACGTGCCCTTTATCCTCAGTTCGATGAGAGTGTGCGGATTTGGGATGTGAAGACCGGGAAGTGCCTTAAGACCCTGCCTGCCCACTCGGACCCCGTCTCTGCGGTGAGTGCCGGCCACCACGCAGAGAAGGTGCCTTGTGAGGGATGCCTGCTGGCGAGTGTGGCCTGTGAGGGGCTGCGTCTCTGAGTGTGTGACTGAGGAAGGCATGTGTCTGAGTGTGTGACTGAGGATTTTGGCGAGGTTGATGGGGTGGTGGGCAGGGTGAGGAGTGCGTGGTTTAGAGGCCTAGGCTCAGGTGAGAGCAGTCAGAAGGTGGCCCGAGCAGGATCCTGAGGTTCCCAGGGTCCAAGGTCAGGCCCAGCGTCCAGGTGACTGAGGAACATAGACCAGGCAGGTTCCGGAGACGATGGGGGCAGGGGGACTGGTGAGCCTGGATTTAGTGTTGCACTGCTCACAGAGAGGTCAGTGGTTCAAGCCCACCACCCTCTGTGCCAAGGGAGAAAGATGAGGCCGTCTGCTCCCACTGCGTCGGGGCCCTGTGGGCAGTTCGACGTGGTCTAGGAGACCCTGGGTGTGCTGGGCACCTGGTATGGGGCCAGTGGGTGGAGCTCGCTCCACCCTGCAGAAGGTCCCCTAGTGTCCCCTTCTGCCCCATGGACAGCACCACACCACAGGCACAGAGTAGGCCTTCCAGGAAGGGGGCTCTATAAGGACCCGTCCCGGGCAAACTGCCGGGTTCAGATGAGTGGCAGTCCGGGTTACGGGCCCTGGCAGTGCGCTGCTGTTAGTGCCCTGGAGACTGGAGGAGCCATGGTGGTGCCGGGGGCCACTAGCCACAAGGGCAGCAGTCCGAACCCTTAGCTGCTCCCCTGGGGAAAGAGGCGGCTGTGCTGTCAGCACCAGACTGCCATCCGGGCTCCCCTCAGTGCCTGGAGCTGGCCGTGAGGACCAGGTGCTGGGTTGGTCCTGGCCTGAGGCACTGAGGGCTCAGAAACCTTGACCGTGCCTTACCCGGGCCACACTTAGGACTGATGGACAGATGATGGGGGGGGGGCTGGCCTGGCCCGGTGGTTCCCATGGTCACTGTTGAGTGCCCAGTGGTCTGGATTGGGTGGTCCTTGGGGCTCAGGCCCCTCTCGGAGGAGCAGGGCAACGGGGCGTCCCCAGGTCCTCTTGCGAGGAACGCAGAGGAGTGAGTGAGCAGGTGGCTCCCGGTGGCTGTGAGCTGGGTGGCGGTTCCTGAGAGCATGTTCCTCCCGGTTCGTAGGTTCACTTCAACAGAGATGGCTCCTTGATCGTCTCAAGCAGCTACGACGGCCTCTGGTAAGTGGGTCTTCGCACTCCGCTGCCTGTCCAGGCCTGGGACATGTGGGGGCCCTGGGGCCCAGCACCAGGGTGTGTGTGTGTGTGTGTGGGGGGGGGGCGCTCCAGTGCTGTCATGGTCCCTTGAGCCCTGGGGCCAAGCTCCTGGTGTGGAGGAAGTCGTGTTGGGCTGCGCTCACATCCCACCGAGGTCCTGAGTGCTGACCAGAGGACTAGTGGAGGGAGGGAGGCCAGGAGGGCAGAGGTCGCAGTGTGGGCAAGGTGGTGGAGGGGACCGGTCTCCGGGTGAGCAGCTCGCTGGAGGGCACTCTGGGAACCAGAGACGTTTCCCAAGAAGTGCAGGTGTGTCTGTCCAGCCCGGGCCTGTGGCGTTCGGGTGGCTCCGTAACTCTTGTCATGGCTGGACTGCTCTCTGCTGCTGGGGACACTGCAGCACCGTGGTAGTGTTGCCCCAAACACGGTGAGGGTTCCTTGGAGAGACCTGTGCTGAGTGTGTGTGTGTGTGTGTGTGAGGCTGTTCTCACGTGACAGATCAAAAGCCTCCTGACCGAGTTTCCGAGACACTCCTGATGAGAAAGCTCTCGAGAAACCCCCGGAGAAGCACAGACCCGTCAGTGGCGTTCAAAGACGGGTGGCCTGTGTTGTGGGTGCAGTGACCATGCCCACAGGTAGCCGAGCCAACAAGGGGGCTGGTGGGAGTCGAGGGCAGCCGATGGAGCGTTGTTCTGTAGGGTCTTCCTGGCCCTGCCCTGTGGACTCCACTTTCTGAAGCAAGTGCCTGGCCTGGCCCTCGGGTGGTTCCAGCTGCTGGCCTTTTGGCTGGAAGCCAGACGCCTGAGCGGTGCCACTCGGGCACTCCACCCTGCAGGAGGGTCATGGTCTCGAGTCACGCTGCAGCCGCGAGGCTGCCCGAGTGCCCAGCCTTTGTGCACCAGGCAGCCCGGCAAGATCAGGCCTAGGGGATGGGGATGGGGACAAGGACAGCTCCGTGAGTGATGTGACCCTCATCTGACCGGGCAGCGGCCTCTGCTGTCTGTCCAGGTGAAAGACGGTCAGGATCTTGAAGACAGCCTGTGGCCTTGGCTGTAAAGCTTCCCGAGGAAACAAGGGAAAAGATAAGCCCATGTCGGCCGGTGGATTCAGTCCCAGTGACCACACGGTGGCGTGGAAGTGCCCGTGGGACTCGATGGCTGAAGAAAGGAGTGCCAGCCCACCTTCTCGCGCCCAGAGCTGCCTAGTGCTTGGTGCACTTTGTGCAGAGCCCGGGATAGCTACAGTGGCCTGTGGGTGTGTCCGGGGTCAGGGGTCAGAACTGCAGTGACCTTGCGTGTGTCCAGGTCAGGTCAGCTGCAGTGGCCTCTGGGTGTGTCAGGGGTCAGCTGCAGTGGCCTGTGGGTATGTCCAGGCCCTGGGGTCAGGGCCGCAGTGGCCCCTTAGGCTGAACTCGAGAAGGTCAGGCTCCAAGGATGCTGTGGTCGGGCCACGTTGAGCGGATTTAGAGTCCCCATGCCTGCAGCGTCCCTGTGCCAAGAGAAGCCAATTGGCTCTGAGCTCACTGCAGGCTGTGCTGGACACAAGGCCCTTGGGAGGAACCTCTTCCCCGGCCTGCGTGCTGGGGCTTGGGCGATTGCCTGGGTGGGGGGGCAGTGGCCGCCGGGCCTTGTGTGGGAGTCTGTTGTGGGAAGTTTGTGAGTCAGAAGCGCAGAGCAGCGTCTTCTTAGCCCTGCGTGTGAGGGCAGGCGGCCCGGCTGCCAGGGTCACTGGATTCCTAACGCATGGCCTGTTTCTCCTTTCAGTCGGATCTGGGACACGGCCTCAGGCCAGTGTTTGAAGACTCTGATAGGTGAGTGGCCTGGCTTGGCTTTGAGGTCCAGGGTTCCAAGGGCCTCTGCTGCCCGTGCTCCCGCCCCCTTCTCCAGGCACCGTGCTCCCTAGAGAGAGGTGGTCTCCCTCCCGACGGAGAGGCGAGGCGAGCTGTCCTGAACACAGAGGTCCGAAGGGCGGTTATACGTCTGCCCTGCACGGTTACCCTTTCCCACGGGCTACTGTGTCCAGAGACGTCCCCTGGCCTGCTCTTAACTTTCCTCACTGGCCCTGCCCTGCCCTGCCATCCCCGCGGGCCTTCTGTTGGCTCCGGCTTTCCACTTCTCTCCTGCTGGCTGGCAATGTCAGCCTGCGCCTTCTCGGGCTCCTGGGACCCTCTGCCTGCCTTGGGCAGGTCCCTACCCTAGGGTGGAGAGACCCTGGACCATGAGGGACGGAGGCCAGGGAGAGACCCTTGTAGCTTGGGTGGGGGCCATGTAGGCTGGGAGCTGTCTGGGCCGAGGAGAGGACGGAGGCCTGGACGTGCAGCAGCCCTGTGACGACGTGGTACGTCGCGCCTGCCTCACAGGAGGGGACCTAGGCACAGGGAGGTCAGGCAGCAGCCTTGTCCCCGGGAGGAAACTGAGGCACTGGAGATCAGCAGGGGAGGACACTGGGGGGAGGGTCCTGAGAGTGCCCCTTGGCCGTGGGGCCTACCTTTTGGGGTGGCCCCTGCTGTGTGGCTGGGTGGGGGGCTGAGTGTGAGCCGACTGTCGTGCCTTGCAGTGCGTTCGGCTGGCCCGCAGGAGCCATGGCGCCTGGAGCTGGGCAGTGAGGCCAGGCCTCGTGGCCCTGGTAATGCGTGTGCCCCTCCCCTGGCTCAGGCACAGCATGCAGCCCTCCCGGGAGCTCTGGGCAGCTGGTAGCGCTGTCCCCACTCCTGCTCCCCGCACCAGGGTGCCCACTTGCTGAACACCCTCACCCAGGTGAGGTGAGGCCCCTGGGGCACCCAGAGCAGGAGGCTCTGAGCTCCTGTGGACCGGCCCCTCCCCCTGGGTAAGGGTGCTGACTCACCTCACGGCTACGGTGGTTTCATCTGCATCTGGGATCCTTGGACGGCAGTGTGGCCAGTGCTGTGGGCAGGCCGGGTTGCTTCTAAGAGACTTGTGCCCGGTGGGCACGGAGGGGCTGCCTCCTCCCCACGTCTTGGGAGCCACGTGTCGTAAATGAGGCCGGGCACCAGTTCCCTGGGCTCCACAGGGCAGTGGTGGGCAAACTCACCACGGTGTGGTGAAGGCCCTCGGGCACAGGCAGCTCGGCAGGGGCTCAGCCCTGCTCTGTCTCTCAGATGACGACAACCCCCCGGTGTCCTTCGTCAAGTTCTCTCCAAACGGCAAGTACATCCTGGCGGCCACGCTGGACAAGTGAGTGACCCCATAGACACCTACCTCCTCCCTGAGGGGCTGCAGCAGCTGGTGAGGGCCACCTTTCCAGGCTGGGCAGGGTGCCCCTGAGCTCCATGACACTCCCACATACTCCTCTCTCCACCGCCCCCCTTCCTTCCCCACGGCAGGAACCCTGGTGGCGCTGTGGGTGTGGTGACTCCCACCCGCGGGCTGCTGAGCTGGTCACCTTAGTGTGCCATGCCCGTTGCCTACATTGTGCCCTCGGGGTTGCTGGGTGTGTGACCGTGGCACCCCTGCACCCGCTGTATGAGGGATTCAAGTGTGGGGGGCTGTGCTGGCGGGGGGAGAGCTTAGTGCAGGGGCGTGGCAGAGCACCCCCACGGCTTTGCAGCCTGCTCTGATGCCTGTGACCTTACGGCCCCAGGGGAACTGCCCCGAGATGGGGCTGCAGCCCTTCCTGGAACTAACTGGCGTTCCAGCGGCTGGTGGGTTTGAACCACGCCGCGCCTGCAGCGCACGGGGACAGGCCTGGGGACTTGCAGGTCACTGAGACTCAGACGCCCCTTCTCTCTCTGCCGCCAGCACGCTGAAGCTCTGGGACTACAGTAAGGGGAAGGTGAGTGCCAGGCAGGAGCAGCGCCCTCGCTGATTGGGGCTGGGGGGGGCGGGGCGGGTGAGCTCAGCCTCGCGGAGCTGGACTGGTACCTGGTACACGGTCCTTCACCGCTTGGCTGGTCAGGGGAGAAAGCATTGGCCTGTGTGTACCTGTGGGCACTTAGGGTACTTTAAGAGTGCCCAGCGTGTGTGTGGTGGGGTTCCAGGCGGGCAAGGTCCCATGCTCCTGATCATGCCCGCCCGCTCTCCCTCCTGCTGTGCTTTGCAGTGTCTGAAGACGTACACCGGCCACAAGAATGAAAAGTACTGCATATTTGCCAACTTCTCAGTGACCGGTGGGAAGGTGAGTCGTCCCCGTCCTGTCCCACCCTAGTGTGCAGTGTGCGTGTCTCTCTTTCACGCACGCACGCACGCAGACACACACACAGCCCTAGGGATGCCTTTCTCTGTCCACAAAGTAAACGTTTTGGGCTTCGAAGCAAAATGGGTCACACGGCACTTTGACCCCGCCCCTTGGTGGCTGCTGGGCTGAGATGCCCCTCCCCTGAGTGCTGTGAAGTCCCGCCCCGGCTCTGCTGCTGATTGGGCTCCGGAGTGTGGGGCCTGCCGTTGGATCTGGCCTGGTCGTCCTGTTGTGTTCTTCCTGAGCCGCTGCCCCAGGGCAGCTGTGCCTCTCCCCTCCCCACCTCCTGTGGCCCCAGGATAGAGGGCGGGGTGGGTAGGAAGAAGTCACCCGGCTGATGCCCATGGTTCAGAGATGTAGGAACTTGTCCTTTGGGAAAGCTGTCCCAGGCCCTGCCCTCCCTGTAAGATACGCAGCCTGGGAGTGGGGGTGGGGGTCCCACAGAGCAGGGGCTGGAAGGGGCTTGCATGCTGTGAAAGCCCCTGCCCCTCAGACCAAGCCCGCCTCTCTCTGCGCAGTGGATCGTGTCTGGCTCTGAAGACAACCTGGTGTATGTGTGGAACCTGCAGACCAAGGAGGTGGTCCAGAAGCTCCAGGGGCACACAGGTGAACGGGGGTTTCAGGCCCTGCCGGTGGTGGGGGGCATCTACTACGGCTCCCACTGTGGCATTCTGCCACCTAGCCTGTTACTCGCTGGAGTGGCTTCTGTGTCCTGCGCCATTGTCCCCACGTTGACTGCCCCCATGGAGAACTAGGTTGGGAGAGCCCCACAAGAAGCCTCACCCCTCCCTGGACAAGTGGTGTGTGGGCCCCAAGACTGTCTCCCACACTCGCCCCTGCTGCCCATCCCGTGTGATGTAGCTGAGGCCAGTCTCCTCTGCCCCCAGGTCCCACCCAGTGGCTCTCGCTCTAGGCTCCATGCTGGACGAGGCACCTAGGTCTCCTGGGGTGGGGGGTGGGCGGGCAGGAGCAGGAGGTGCTCTCAGACCTGGAGCTTCCTCCCAAGGCCCGTGTCCGAGCTGCAGCAGGTCACCCCGCGCTGCTGTGAGACAAATGCCACGGGTCGTGTCTCTCACGTTGGCTCTGGGGGAGGTCCTTGTTCCCACGAGTCTTGGTGTCACAGGGCCGGCCCAGGGCACGCACTGCCCTGGACTCTTCTTTGGGCCGAGCTCCTTTTGTCAAAGTAGGGCTGATCCACCAACGCATGCCCAGTAAGTGAGGAGATGCCGGAGTGTCCCTGGACCTACGTCAGACCCCAGGGGCGAGGCTTTCCGACTTGAGGGCCATCACTTCGCATCACGGGACAGGGTCGAGGACAGTGTGCCGAGGTCTTGGCTTAGCCAAGTGGGCACACAGTCTGTCCTTGGGGCCGGGCACCGTTCCAGCCATAAGACGGTGAGCTCGGGCTCACTTGCGTGGACTCGGAGCTCTGCGTGAGTGGCGTGCCGAGGGGCACGTGAGTGCTCCACAGGCTCGAGCAAGATGCCGCGCTGCCCGCCGTGCTTCTGGGCACAGGACCCGAGTGTGGTGGAGGCCCTGACCCGCCTCTTGTCCCCAGATGTGGTGATCTCCACGGCATGTCACCCGACAGAGAACATCATCGCCTCGGCCGCGCTGGAGAATGACAAGACCATCAAACTGTGGAAGAGTGACTGCTAGGCCTGGGGTGCAGGAGAGAGCAGCAGGAAGTGGCCCCAATTGACAAGAAACTGGGGTTTGGAGACGCAGCTCCCGGCCCGAGCTTTCTTTCGGAGGGGAAGCAGGCCCTTCTGGAAAGTTCGCCAAGTTGCTGGGACCCTTGTTGCCAGTTCTTTCAGCGTTGGGGAGGTTCTCCCAGCCACACTTTCAGCAGAGTCAACAGTTCTTCAGTTTCTATTTACAAAAGGGTGACGTTCCGTTTCTCATGAGTTCTTTTTCCAGTCGAGCATCCTGTACCTTTTTTGATACCTTCCCACCCAGCGCACACTGTGACTGCCCCTCTCCCGTGCCCCCGCCCCCCCCTGGCCCCTGGGAGTTGTCCACTGTGTGCCGAGCCCTGCGTATAGCAGTGCCCAGTGCGTTCTGGCCTCTGGGAAACACGGGACCCTGTCAAGTTCCACTCGCATCAAAGACGTAGTTTTGAGGCTGCCGCTCACGCTCAGCGTGGTATCGGCACCCCTCCAGCAGGCTCTGCTAGAAAGTCTAATTGACAAGAAGTGGAAAGGGGTTTCCCCCAGTGGCCCACACCCCGGGACAGTGCCCCCAGCTTTGCGTCCCGGTGCCCGTGGGGCATGTGCTGCTGGGCCAGCTCGTGTAACTTCTGCAGGGCTCTGGGGGTGCACGGCCATGGCCTCCCATTGGGGCTGCAGGGTTGGAGCTTGGGGGGGGGCACCCACTGGGTGAGCTGCAGAGGCGAGCTTGATTGCCAAGGAGTCTTAGTGAAGTTAGGTGGGTTTGGGGTCAATACACCTCTCCCCAACACCTCAACCAAGGCTCTGCAGTCAGAGGTGCTGTGCAGAGTGGAGTGGCTGAGGACAGGGCTGTGGAAAGCCTGTGGGTGGCTGTGGAGTGGGGCGACATCCCCGTTCTGGAAGGCGGCTGGAAATTAGCTTTCCTCCCCTGCGCCCTGTAGGTACACATGTAGGTTGGGTGTCTTTGGGAACTGGCACCCAGCCACCTCCCTCAGCCTCAGGGTCTGGGAAACCCTCCCCTGTGCCTCCCCCCTGCCAGGAGCCTCCCCTTGCCCTGGTGGTGCCTCTGGGAGGACATAGTTTATTTTTCTACGTTGGGACTCGGGACTCTCAGTTGTAGGTTATGTACAGATGCATTCCCTTTTGGAAAATAAAAGGTTTTCATGTCTTGTAACTTTATCCTGTGGTGTTTGTGTAGCAGGGCTGGTGACAGTCTGCATGGGGGTGGGTTGACCTGGACCCCCTTCTGCTCTCTGCTGTGGCCCCATGAACTCCCCCTCCTCTGGAGGCTCAGGTGGCAAGTTCTCGGTCTGTAAGTACCCTTTCCTTATAAAGGGCCACTTTCTAAGATCGGCATGTGAAGATCCTGTGTGTGTGCACAGAGGCAGTGTCTGTCTCCAGAGATGGTGCCAGCGACCTGGGGGCCCACCTTCACTGGCACCCACAGCCAGGGCTGTGTTCTGTGGCCTACAGCCTGCTGTCCCTCTGCTGACCCGCTGGGCTCAGCCCCAGCAGCCTTGTTAGTGTCTCCTAACAATGTATGTGTGCGTGGCCCTGCTGGTGTGGTTATGTGTTGGGCTGCTAAGTACAAGGTTTGAAACCACCTGCTGCCCCCACATGGCAGGTCTCTCTCCTGCCCAGTCCGATGGGCTTGGTGGCGGGCAGTGAGCGAGTGTGCTGGTGTTCTGACCCCGGTGAAGTGGATGGCGCTGCTCCCTTCTTCCAGTCGGGCTCATCAGATTCCAGCTCATCCCTGGGGGTGACATCGCCTTGGGGCTTCTGTGGGGGTGTTGTCCTGTGGGAGGGGCAGAGCGAAGACCTGGGGCGGGAGGGGGGTGGCACACCACTGCCTTCCTGTGCTCTGGCGCTTGGCTTTAGGGAAGCCATCAGGACCCTCACTCGAACCAAACTCACTGCTATCGATTCTGACTCAGATTTCCCAGAATGTAGCTTTTTAAAAAATCCTATCGGGGGCCCTTATAGCTCTTATAACAATCCATACACCAATTGTGCCAAACACATTTGTCCGTATGTCGCCATAATTTTCATTTTTTAAAATTGCATTGGGGACTCCTACAACTCTCAACCACAATCCACCCATCCATCCATCGTGTCAAGCACATTTGTGCATTTGTTGCATGTTCTCAAAACATTGTCTTTTTGCTGGACCCCTGTGTATCAGCTCCTCCATTTCCCTCCCTCCCATCCCCGCTCTGCCACCCTCGAGGACCCCTGACAAATAAGAATTGTTTCTCCCTTCACCGCGTTTCAGATAAGAAAAAAACCGTGGTTAGATGCCACAAAGTAGGTGGCAATGCCTTAACCATATGCGTGTTGTAAGGCCCGAGGGCCTCTTCCATCCTTGTCAAGGGGAGTGCTAACCTTCTCTCCTTTCATACAACACAGAACGCCGTCCGTCAGACGGCTATTTAAGGACCAACGCTCAAGCCACCTTACACCGATGGTGACTTGGCACAGCCGCTCAGATACTCATGAACATACGGGTTTTTATTGGGGAACGAACAAGACTCCCCCCAGCCTCCCTCGTTTCGATAAATAAAAATGTGTAGGCATAGTTTCTTCTTGATTAGTTATTCTCCTTAATTTATTCATAATGTCAGCCAATCAGAGGACGAAGGGAGCACCGGAAGTTATGAGTGTCATTAGGAAACGCAGGTTTCCCCCGGAAATAAAACAGAGCCGGCGCGCACATCCTACAGGGACACACCTCCGGGACAGTCGAGCAGAGGCGCGAACGGCCTGCGGAAATGGAAGTGGTGTGTGACGCGTCAGAAAGCGCCCATCCGGAGAGCGCGCGGACTTCCGGACGCGGCCTCGCGCTGGGAACTGTGGGGCGGGGGTCTGAGCCGCGCGGGGCGCAGGCGGACGCCAGGGGGCGCCTCCCGCGCACGTTTCGCGCTCGCTGTGGCCCGCTCCGCGCATGCTCAGTGCCGTGTCTGCGGTCGCGACTCTCCCGGACTAATCTGCGCATGCCTTCAGGTAGCTCTGCGCATGCTCCGAAGTGGCTCGGCCGAGCGTTCGAGGCCGGACCATGGCAGGCGTGGGCCTCGGTTTCCGCTCCTCCCTCCCGCCCCTCCACGTGGACGTTCCGATTTGGAGGCTGCGCGTTTGGCCGCCCGCGTCGGGGAAGTGACGCCGGAGGACCCCGCTCTTGACATACGCTCCCCGCGCCTTGCGCGTTGAGAGATTTGCGGACGCATCTGTAGGACCCCACGGCCCCCCCAAAATAAGCCACGGGGCGAGTTGGGCGGCAGCCCCGCGTGGGGGCTACCTGATCGTACAGAAACGAGCGTAGCAGGCGTGAGTGTGAGCCGCGTGCATGTGTGCATACCTGATACCTGTAGATGTACAAGTGTGCACGCACATGGGTACAGATGGAGCGTGTGAGCTGGGTGCATGTGTACCCATACCTACAGATACAGGTGTGCACGCACCTGCAAACAGGATAGGGACAAACCGACAGATCCATGTGTGCATGCGTGTGCAGGAAGGAGACAGCGACAACGTGAGAGCTGTGTGCACATGTGTGCGTGCCTACAGATCCATGTGCACACGTGTGTACAGACAGGAAGGAGACAAAATGACAATGATGAGTGTGAGCTGTGTGCATGTGTGTGCGTGCTTACAGATAGAGATGTGCACACGTGTACAGACAGGAAGGGACAGTACAACAGGTTGTGAGCTATGAGCATGTGTGTATGCTCATCTGTACAGATAACATGTGCACATGTACCTACAGGAAGGTAGCAACATAGCACACGTGTGACTGGTGTGTTACGCTTGTCTCTAGAGGTGACACACACAATGCACACGCGTGTGCCCCTAGATCAACAGAAAGGAGACTAATAAACACCAGTGTTCATGCAGGCTTGAGGAATGCTTCCTGTGCACACTTATGTACACGGGTATCTTTGTAGGCCGTTCTGAATGACACCGAGGGGCATGCGTGTGAGGCATGCAGACCTGTTTTCAGACACGTGTACAGGCATGAAGGGGACACCACCTATGCCCAGTGGTCCTTTCTGGGTGGCAGTTTGTGAACGATTTTATTGTACTTCTTTGTGAGGTTCTGAGTTGTGTGTGATCAATAGGAAAACGAGACAGTTTGCTGGTCAAGTGGTAGGTGCCAGTGAGCCAGTACAGCAGCAGCAGGAGCCCCGCCCTGTCCTGTGCACCCTCCCTCGTGGCTGGGAGCCCGCGGCTGGTGGCACTATGTCAGGCCATCTCAGGGAGATGGGCACCTCTCTTTATCTCCTCGCCTGGGAGAACGGGGCAGGGGCAGGACCAGTGACGGGCAGCCGGCGGGAGGAGTGGCCAGGGAGAGTTTCTGGATAGGAAATGAAGTCCAGGTGGAAGGACAGACGGCTCCAGGTCCAGAGTGTCTGTGGTTGAGAAACCAGCAGTCCTGGGAGCCGGGTGGGAAGAGGGACGTGGGTGTGTCCCTGCCCTGCCTTTGTGGGTGAGCCAGGCTGGCCTGAGGTGTCACCCTGGCCCAAGCACTGCCTGCTGGCCGGCATTGGTGCCCCTGTCCCCTGCCCGAGCCTTCGCAGCCAGTCTGGGGAACCAGCCCTGGGCACTGGGTTCTTTCCTGAGTTCCAGTTGTGGTTGGCGTCTTCAGGGTGGCCTCTTGACATTGGGTTCCTGCCGGTGCCTGCCCCTGTGGCTGGAGCAGTGCATGCACTGAGCGGTCTGTCAGCACTGCCCGGACTGGGTCTCGGGGATCCCTGCCCTCTGTGTCCCCCCCGCCCCGTGAAGCCCCAGCCCCAGGGAAACTGCCATTCGCAGCCCTGTTTTGTAGCTGCTGACTGAGGCCTGAGGTGGAGGGGCCGGGGAGTCTGTGGGACTCCCGCCCCCCAGGGACAGTTGGACCAGACCTGCTGGGCTCCCCATGGAAAGGACGAGGCTGAAGCAGACGCTGGTGGACGAGCTGACTCTGGCCCTCGGAGCGGATGCCCTGCAGAAGCAGGGGCTCAGTGGTGGGCTCAGAGTGGGATCTTGAGGCAAACACCCTGGAAACAAAACCACCCTCCAGACTCCCTGCCCACTCCCCGACCCCCAGGACAGAGGAGAACTGCCCCGTGGGTTTCTGAGCCTGTAGCAATTGTCCGGAGCAGAGAGCCCGTCTCTCCCTCGGGGCTGGTGGTTCCCAGCTGCTGACCTCCTGCGTCACAGCCCGACCATGGCCGCTGGGCCACGAGGGCTTCCAGCGAGAGACACAGTGGTTCCCAGCCCTCAGTCTGCTGGCAGCCACCCACAGGCCTCCCCGGTTCAGGCGGTGGGGAAAGGCAGCGGCACAGCCGCCCACAGCACAGGGACTGCTCCTTGGGGTGCGCACCCTGACCTACTGGGGTCCTGGGGCTGTCACAGGCCGTGGGATGCTGCGGGCGCCAGAGGGTCTGCTTCAAGCTTTTGGAATCGAGTGGCCCCAGTCACACAGCGCTCCTGCCCACAGTCCCCTTGTTGGCTCTGGGGTGGCTGGCCGGCAGCCTTGGGTAGTGGGTCCCTGCCCTGCCCGGCTCTCTGTGGAGAGGGCACTTCATAGTCAGCAGGCTGGACCTAAGTGGGCGTCTGCCCAGCCCCTTGTCTTCCTGGGGTGAGGGGTTGGGGAACCTCTTCCTGAGGGTGCCTTGCTGGGCAACTCCAGGGCTCTCCACCAGGGGGTAGGCTGGCATCTCCAGTGGGGACCATGGGGAGCCCCTGGGCCCCTTCCCAGGATCCCCAGGCCAGATCTCCACGTCCCTGCTTCCCGCTGAGGACAGGGTGCCCTCAGCTCACTTGTAGCTCTGTGGCCCTGGGAGAGTCGCTCACCAGCTCTGGGCCTGTTTCCTTTCCCTCAGGGGACTGCTGGGCTCTGGCTCTGGGCTCCACCTCAGGGTGGGGGTGGGGGGGCCGGAACCAGGGTCAGGGACACACCCAAAGTGCAGACTTGCTGCGGGTCTGTAACTTACCGGGGTGGGGGCATGGCGGGGGATGAGGGGCACCCCCAGAGTGCAGGCAGGTGGGCACAGGGCTCAGCTGTGGGGGACACTGGCCCAGAGGGGCTGATGCTGCAGGGGATGCCCCCAGAGCACAGGGGTCGCTGGGTTCAGGCACGGGAAGAATCCAAGGGGCACCCCAGAATGCAGGCGCCCTGATGTCTGTAATATACAGGGT